TTTTTTTTTTTTTTTTTTTTTTTACTGATAAATCATTTCTGTCGATTGGTGGCTAACAGTAATGTTGAAGACTCTAAACTTTACTTTTTTTTTGGGGGGGGGGGGGTTGGGGGGCTCTAGTTGAAGCTTTTTTCTGCTTCAGTTAATTTTTGTAGCGTTGCAAAACAAAAACTGTGTGATGACATTGAAGAGGAAAAAAATAATACTGTTTTTTTTTTTCAATGTTCATTTTGAATCAAAGACTTTTGGTTAATAACCAACGTTTTGTTATTAAAAAATTAAGAGATATGAACAAAAAAAAGGTTACATTTTGAAAAATTTGATAATTTTTAATGTTTCAAAAAAAAAAAATGAATAAATAAATTAGCTTATCCAAAATATCCAAAATAGTTGGCAATCAAAAATTGGTGAATAAAACTGTTTAGTATCGTTGTTGTTGCACTTTTTTTTTTTGTATTTTCTCATGTTCTATCCATTTCAGTCGTTTTTTTTTTGTCTTCTTTTGACTGCCTATTACCTTAATTTTATTTTATTTTTCAACCTCAATTGTTGTTGGATTTTCTTTTTACGCTAATAAAACTTAAGTTTTTTTTTCACCTTTTTGTGATGATATGCGAAAAAAAAATAATAAAGAAAGAAGAGGCGTAAGGGTGAAGAAAGTGAGTGATATTGTTCAGTGTTTGCCTGCAAACAACTTTGACTGTCAAACAGCGATTTAGTCTTTCTCCATACTCTCCAAAAAAAGCCGTCTATTTGCATAATATTGTCATGTGTATCGGTGTTGTTGTCTGTATATCTGTCTTACTTTGGTTTGACAATTGTTAAAAAGGGGTTGTCAAAAATTTTTTTTTATACGATTGTCGTCATCTGCAACAGTCCTATAATTTGTACGTTCCAAACGACCAATATTACTGATCAACAATTGCAGTTTGTAGCGTTTTCCAAAAAAGAAAAAAACTGAGTGCTTTTCTTCATATTTTAACTTCTTATTAAAAGCGCTTCTTATCGTCCAGTAAATTTAGAGTGGAATAAATTTGTGAAATCGACGAACCATGAAAGATAAGAGAAAAGAAAAAAAAAATTAATTGCTGTAAAATTGATTATTAATTCAGTCACAAACATCCCCAAATACCAGGCGAATAATTGAGAAATTGCAATTTATATCTGCAAAACAACTCTGAGGAAAACGATACTGGTTGCCGTTGTTATGTCTCGTTTCCTTTTTTTTTTTCTTTTTTCAATTTTAGAAGCTGTACATACAGCGGTATTAGCTTAGATAATTTTTATAAAAGCGGAACTGCAGTGACAGAAGTTACTAGTGAAAATAGAAAACTTTTTAAACTAGTTGTGTCTGAACACTGCTACTGAATTAAATTACATCCGTTCGCCGT